TGTCCAACTCTTTGTGACCCCATAAACTATAGCCCTCCAGGCTCCTCTGTCCCTGGGATTTTCCAGGCAAGAACACTGGAGTGGGTTGCCATTGCTTTCTCCAGGGGATCTTCTTGACCCAGGGATTGAACCTGAACTACTGCATTGCAGGTGGTCTCCTGCATTGCAAGTGTATTTTTCACCAACTGAGCCACCAGGAAAACCACCCTAAATGGTGAAGACACCACAGTAATTCTTGATTCTTAGCAGTAAATCTGTTTCCTTTCGGTAGGATCTGTCTTTCAAACCATGTTCAGAAATTCTGCAATAACAAATATTACTGTTCTTCTATTTTCATTAAATATTCTGGGCATTGAAAATATGTTTAATCTTGAAGTTCACACCCTTCACATCTAAAAGAAGCATATTTCAATTTTTAGTATTTTAATAACTCCATCCTATTTTCTCCAATTATTCAGATGGCCCATCCCCTGAACTGGATTCTAAATTTTTTAAATACTTTGTCTCGTGTTTCAGATTTCTATTTTATGCTCTACGTTGTACATAAGCATAAGTTGGTACAATTCTCTAGCTTTTTCTTCCATCCATTCTTACAACTGTTGTTTTTTATTTTATTAGTAATTGCTTCATTTTATTTTAGAAAGTACAAAGAAGAAAAGTGGAAGAAAGTAGACTTTGCTTAACTTAAATAGTGAAAATAGAAACCTGAAGGGGAATATAAAATACAAAAGCAAATTTCAAAGTTTACATACAGTAATGATGTAAATTGCATCCGAAGTAATCCTATTTCTCATTTAAAAATTGTTGTTGTTTTTAATTTCTGTCATCATATTGTTAATTTCCAAAGCTACTTCATGTTCACTGATTTATCCTTTTTAAAATAACGAGAGATAGTGAAGTGCAGGGAGGCCTACTGTGCCATAATCCATGGGGTTGCGAAGAGTCAGACATGACTTAGCGACTGAACAACAAAAGTAATGCAGCATTGTGCTTTATACGTGTACTATTCTCTTTTGTCTCTTAGATATCATTATTGATAATTTTTTTGGTGCTTCTTTCTCTGTCTAATCAAAACAAACCAACCTTGCTTCCTCTGAGTTACTTATTTGTCAAGTGGGGCCTTCACTGTAGAGTTACCTAGATCCTGTGGGTCTATTCTCTTGGACTGACCAGATGCCCCACAAAAGATGCTTTCTGTCTTCAGGCCTGGGTCTGATACGTGTTTTATGAAGCACCCACATCCCCTCCTACCTGCCAGCCCCTGCTGTTCCCTCGGACGCCCCACCATGCCCAGGGGGCTGAGGGAGCATCAGGCCTCACCAGCAGCAGCTCTCCCGGCTGGGGCAAACGTGCACAGGGCCCCAGGGAGAGCAGGGTGATGCTGGCGGTCGTGGGAGGCACAGGCCTCTCAGCCCCGGCCTGAGCAAACGCCCACCATTTCCTGCTTAAGAGAAAGTTGCTCAGCCGTGTCTGACTCTTTGCGACCCCATGGACTATATACAGTCCACTGAATTCTCCAGGCCAGAATACTGGAGTGGGGAGCCTTTCCTTCTCCAAGGGTTCTTCCCACCCCACAGGTCTCCCGCATTGCAGGCAGATTCTTCACCAGCAAAGCCACAAGAGAAGCCCATTTCCTACTTAAAGTGCTTTTAAAATTTTGATTCTGGGAAAAGAAAAGAGACTGTCTAAGTATATACATGTGTGTGCATGTCTGGCTCAGATGCTCCAGTCATGGTCATTTCTTTGTGACCCCATGGACTGTAGTCTGCCAGGCTTCCCTGTCCATGGGATTCTCCAGGCAAAAATACTAGAGCAGGTTGCCATTTCCTACACCAGGGAATCTTCCCAACTCAGGGATCGAATCCACATCTCCTGCATTGGCAGGCGGACTCTTTATCGCTGAGCCACCAGGGAAGCCCATGTATACATATATATATACATACACATGTATACATATATGTACTTTTTAAAATTTCACAGATGACTATTCTATGGAGCACAGTTTGGAGACCTCTCCAATGCCAACTGAAATTTCTTGCACCCTTAAGTATTCCAAGAACTGGGACAATCAAGAACATTTTGGCAAATCCTCAAAGAAGCCAAGACCTCAATAGCTATGGAGAAAGGGATACTCACATATCAATACCGATTGCTGCTTCTCATATTTGGAAGGATATACATACTACATATTTGAATGATGTATATATACATATACTAAGTATATGATGACTCATCATGGGGTGAAAGAAAAGCTTGCAAAACGGGTAAGAGTTATTGAAACACAATTTCAAGGAGTACAGCCTAGTAACTGAAAATCAGTAACCTAGAAGCTCAATCTCCCCATGACTATCAAGAAATTAAGGAAAAATAAAATGTAATGGAAAAAGCAGAACTTACTACAAAGGCTACAGAAATCACCAGTGATGCCAGCCTGAGGACACTGAACCCAGCAATGCTCTGTGGGAAGAGCTCTCTTTGCTTCACAAATAAAGTTGTCCACCAATACTTACCCATAACTAATGAGCCATAAAATTAAAAGATGCTTGCTCCTTGGAAGGAAAGCTATAACAAACCTAGAGAGCGTATTCAAAAGCAGAGATATCATTTTGCCAACAAAGGCCCATGTAGTCAAAGCTATAGTTTTTGCAGTAGTCTTATACAGATGTGAGAGCTGGACCATAAAGAAGGCTGAGCCAAAGAACTGATGCTTTCGAACTGTGGTGCTCAAGAAGACTCTTGAGAGTTCCTTGCAAGGAGATCAAACCAGTCAGTCCTAAAGGAAATCAATCCTGAATATTCATTGGAAAGACTGATCCTGAAGCAGAAGCTCCAGTACTTTGGCAACCTGATGAGAAGAGCTGACTAGTGGAAAAGACCCTGATGCTGGGAAAGATTGAGGGCAAGAAAAGGAGGCAATAGAGGATGAGATGGTTGGATGGCATCATCGACTCAGTGGACATGAGTTTGCGCAAACTCCGGGAGATAGTGAAGGACAGGGAAGCCTGGCATGCTTTGGTCCATGGGGTCACAAAGAGTCAGATATGACTAAGTCACTAAACAACAACAAAGTGTTGGTGAGAAGACCAAACAAGGATAATGGAAATCCAGTGATGCCTTTGTTCTTTGCAAAGGCTGAGTTAGCTCTTTAATCTCAATCCTGTCACTGAATTTAAAGTCAGGAGGTCAAAGTTAGCTTAGAGGTCAAAATCAGCCTCCGATTTCCACTGATTCTAGTAGGTCCTGGGCTTTCACTAGCTGGGCTCTCTGCAGATTACCTGGGCTGAAGTGGAAAATAGGAGTAAGGAGGTACCATACTGCTGATTTTTAACCCAATCAACCCTAAAAAGAGAACATTAAATATAGTGATGAGACGACTTGAGATGTTTTGATGTTAAAAAAATTGTGGTCATTAAACATTAGTATTGTAATTAATATTACTATTAATTTTATGAAACAAGACTAATTAAAAAAAATCTCTTAGCCTGTTAAAATTTCTTGCCCAATCCAACCACTAAAAATCTATGTCAATGGATACAGATGTTTAAGAAAAGTGAATAAGAAAAAAACTTAATCTAAATAAAAATTTAATAAAACAAAAAATCCTAACAATGAAAAAGGATGTATATGAAAAAAGTAAACAAATACTGCAAGTACCATAATGATTCTAGTATTTATTTTAAAAAGAATGTCTTGCCAGAGTTCCTACAATTTCCTACATTTAAAAATTGTACAACAAAAGTGATCACCTTAAAAAGCCCCATCATTAATGTTACAAATATTCTAAATCGCCTTCAATTTATTGAGAAAAGAACAATGCAATAGAAAATTGAACAATATATAATAACAGGCAAATTGTAATGGCAGAATTACAAGTGGTCAAGAAACATGAAAAGATGCCCAATGTCACTAGCAGTCAAGAAAATGCCAATGTAAAAACATTTCATTTTTACTCATCAGAATGGCAAAAGTCTTAATGACTGCTCAGTCAGTCCTAGGGGATGTAGAGAACAAATCCTTTTGTCATTCTACCATGTGGGCAAATGTTACAATTAAATTCATTACAACTGACATCACATCTCTAATTAATAAAGAAAACCCATTAGCTATATATCAAAAAAATAAACTATATACAATAAAATATTATTTTTATAAAGCAAAAAGAAATGAACACATGTAACACTATATGTGAAATCTACCTCTACTAGCAAAGGGAAAATACAACAGAAAAACCATGCCACACTGCAAAAAAGGTGCAGATAATGAATGGGATGAAAAGGAGACAAATAATAATACTTCAAATGCACTTATATCACTCAATGGGTCCTCAGGATCCTGAAATGTAGCCATTTCAAAACTAAAATGTAAGCACATCATTAAGCCTACTGATAAACTTGAGTATCTTCTAACTCCCTAACATAAGCCAAGAAAAGAATCTCCTCTTTTAAGTTTGAAATATGGGGAAAATTTTCCAAAATGGTTGCTAGATCAAAACTTAGAAAAGCTTAATCCTTTTTACACATAGTAATCCAATTTCTGGTAAAAGAAATAAAAGAAAACTGAAGGAAAAATCATTTTTACCTGTTTATACAAACAAATGAAAAAACTCATGTTACCGTGAACTCATCATTAACACTGTTTTGGATCATAATAATAGATTATCTTGAAACCAATTGGTACTTCAGTATGGAGCTCAAAGCTGGAGCAACTGGAGATTCCTCTCTACTGAAAACACAGTTTTGGCAGGATCCCACTAGATCCCTCTCATTACTGGCAAATGTTTCTCCATGAAGGAAATACAGGATGCAGTTTAAATAATAATACTCCAGTGAAAATATTTAATGCCAAAGCACGACTTTCAATGTCAAAGCAATGACTATGGTTCACTTCAGAATCACTTTTCTTTACACAATTAAAAAAAAATTATAGGAGAGGGATTAGATTTTGGTTCAAAAAATGCACATGAAGAATGCTAAGCCTTGACTTAAAAGATCTTTTCCTACCTTCACATTATCTGGATGCAGCCCCCCAGGGTGCTTGTCCATGTACTGACATAAATCAGTATGCTAGAAGAAAGAAAGGAAGACATATTAACATCCCTCTGGCTATAACACAATGAATCAATATTTTTCTATTTCAAAGTCACCACTACTTTCTGAACTAAGCAAATATAAGACAAGTGGGTGGATTTTTTTAGTGTATGCAATTGCACGCACCTCCACCCTCCATTTTAACCACAGTTGAATCATTACTCCAGATTCTATCTTATGTTAAACATATCTGTGCATTAGAAAGAATTTATGTCTACAATTTGTTAATTTGTTAACTGCCTAATTCTCACATTGAATATGTATCTCTTGAGTGGAATAAGAAGAAAGCTTACCTAAAATATATATCTTAACTTCAACTAAAAGCACATCCACATATAGTTAACCAATCCAAATATAATTTCAATTACCTTGCATTTTTCAAGTGGAAAGGAAGGTGATGGTTATTTATTTTATGTGACATGTAAATATTACAAACAGATCATTCTAAATAAATTAATCATTGGATGTATTTCCATTTTTCATAACTATATTCATTAAAAGATAATTTTCAGATTCTCAGCACTCTTGAATATATTTGAAAAAATACTTATTTTATAAAACTTTATAATGATTTACTTTCTAAATCAATGCAAATACTTCCAAAGTTATAAATTAAGACAAACACATCCAGATTTATTTTAAAAAGAAATATCCCAAGATAGCAACTTATACTGTAATTCTTCCAAATATCACAAGTTGAATTTGCACACAATTGTGTATTTTCTTTTTAATGCTTTTTATGTTTATATTACAAGCTACATAAAATTTCTAAAGAAACATGTAGAGTTGCTATACAAATTTTCCTAATCTTATTTATTGGCGGTAACAATTTTATGATTTAATCACTCTGTAAAAACCAGTGACCATGATTATTTATGCCCCATTATCAGGCTTCAATTGTTGAGGAATTATAAGCTTTTGACACATTCAAGAACCTGTACATGGTTGTAGCCATGACGATAACAGTTTAGATTCCTTTACTGAATTTTTATTGCATGCCAGCTGGTAACGGCTGAGAATACAGAGCAGAATTTAGCATTCATTCATTGTTCATCATGTACTTCTCAACTCATTTTCTTGCAGGCACTACACTAGTCATTTTATTGCTGTTGTTCAGTTGTTAAACCGTATCCCACTCTTTACTACCCCATGGACTACAGCATGCCAGGCTTCCCTGTCCTTCACTATCTTCCGGAGCTTCCTCAGACTCATGTCCCTTGAGTCAATGATGCCATCTAACCATGTCATTCTCTGCCGTCCTCTTCTTCTGCCTTCAGTCTTTCCCCGAATCAGGGTCTTCTCCAGTGAGTCGGCTCTTCGCATCAGGTGGCCAAAGAAAGCACTGGAGTTTAGTGACACCAGTCAGCAAGGACACAGAATTCCAGGAAACAGATGTAGGTGGGGAAAAACCAGGACAAGTGTGATTACAGGACAGTACGCTGTACACTAAGAATACTACTGTTTGAGGACACAGAAGGGGGAGCTTAATGTCCGCTAAAGATAGGCCACAGCAAGTGAGACTTTCCAACAAGATCTGAACAGAGAATGAAAAGGTGAGCCGGGGGGAGAACAAAGGGAACGAACCTGGGACAGAAGAAAGGCGCTTGGATGTATTCTAAGACCACATTGCCTTTCTTGTTTCCACACACTGAGGACAGAAACTGTGTACTTTTTAAAACTTTTTATTTTGTACTGGGGCATAGCCAATTAACAATGCTGCAACAGAACATATAAAATGGCACATGAAAAAGCACTTTTTAATATATAACATGATACACAACTATAATGTGCTCATTGCCTTACACATAATAAACTGGTAAATAGAAAGCACATCCAATCATAACAATAATTACATAAGCATATGCTAAAATTTATTTTTAAAATGTAAACTTTCAGTTTACAAAATAAAATCAAACTCACACTCTTTCCAAGATAAAGCTAAATATAAGAAACAACAAAAAATAACAGAAAACCTGAAAGTAAAGGAATACATCATATTATATATTATATATTGATGTTATTTATATTTTATGATATTATACTGACAAATACCAATAAAAAACAAAGAGCAACTTATCAATGTAAATGTTAAACGTAATAGAATTCAAAGAAAATGGATTAAATATTCATTCACCTAGCAACATGGCATTATCCCTATAAAGCAAATATTGATCAAAATAAAAGAAGCAGCTCAAATTTTCACAAAATCTTGAAGGTTACTTCTTTAAAAAAAAAAATCAACCAATGAAATTGACAAAAAAATTTTAAAAATAAAAGGAGGTTACACAAAGGGTATGAGTAACACAGCTAAAAAGCATGTTTAATTTTATGCCAAATAAACTTATGCTACACATGCTTAAAGAAGGGAAATGATGTTAGGGACAAAGCTTCCATTGTACTTTCTACTTGACATATATGCTTTAAATGCAAATTGTGCGTAAGTAAGTGACAGAGTCTCTGCTTTCAGAGAATTCACGTTCTGTGCATTTTTATATATCTGTGAAATTACTGTAACTTTTTCCAAAGAACAAAGTATTCAAGCATTTTGTTTGAAACCAACCAACCAAACAAAATCCCCACTTAACTGTGAGGATGGAAATATATCAGGAATGGAGGGGAAAGTTCCTGATTCTCATGTATACCTACATCCTTCTGTGTACATATGCATGCCCAACATGAATAACAAGGAAGCTTCTCCAGAAAGAAGATCTTGGGAAATTTCAAAAAGATTTTTCCCAAACCTTTAAAAATGTTAAATTTGTATTCCCTCAGCTATATGGCACGAACATGTATGTATGCACACACATGGCTGTCACTAGCTATGTAGTCTTAGGTGGGTTCTATAACCTCTGGGTATCGGTGTCTTCCTCTGTGTTATGGGGATAATCCTAGCACACCTACTGCTTATGGATATTGTGAAAATTAGCATGTAAATATCCATTATGGTTTTACTACACTGCCCAGCACAGGGTAGATGCTACAGGTGATGATGAGGATAATGATGGTGATTTTCTGTGGTGTGTTTAGAGTATGAAGGGGTATTTTGGAGGATTACAATGCTAAATACTGTTTGAGAACTGGAACTCTTAGGCGAAACATTTGATTCTTATTATATGTGTTCTTCCTGTCTGTATGTCCAGACATTCTCATTCATACTCCACAGCTCTCCATACACAACCTCTGAGACTACTTCTAGCAAATACACATCATTAATCTCAGATTGCTCGGGGTCATCAGGGGCAAGAATCTGGAGAACCTCAAATGGAGGAAAAGACAAAAGGTGGTATAAGGTCTTATTTTGAATCCTGGCAAACTTCCGTTTTACCTTAATTAAAAACTTTCTTTTCCCCCTCTCTCTTTTTTTAGTATACAATACTACGCCTGGAACTACATTAGATGTGCCTAAATTACAAATTTCATTACATCTCTTCACTTTAACTTCTCCCCTTAGTTCAGCTCACTGGATTATGTGACCCTTGTGACTTTTCCTGGTCCAGAAATAACAGAAGTGAATTTAACAATCATGCTGGGAGGTAATTCTCTGTTATTACACTTTTTAAAGCCATCCTACACACACAAGTTCTGAACAGAAGGCCCCTATGGCCCATGACCAACAGATCACCATCCACGGATGAGACACGCATAATCTCAGATCCACCTGGCTTGATCTCTGGCCATTTCCTGTTCTAAAAAGAAAAGCAGTGTCTTTAGACTACGTGCCTGGTAACTATAGACCAAACCCAGTCACTCTTCCCCCTCCAATCTCTATCTTGGCTCGAGGCTAGCATCTCTCCTGGCCTGCATTACATTATGCTTCACTTCATCTTCCTGCATCTCCCTCTTATTCACTCTACAACTGCTGTTCTTCTGGGCAATGCTTTTAGAAGTACTTGTGTCTGACAGGTTTGTACCTGAATGCCTAAGAATACTTCATCAGTCTTCCCTCTAGAGTGTGTGGTTTTAAACAAAGCTATCAGGTGTGGCTAGATTTGTACACCAAGCAGAAAAGTGAGAGCAGAAAGAAGCTGGAAGGTTCAATCCCCACACTTGCATACATTTCTTTCAAAATCAGGTTCCTCTTTCCTCATTGCTGATTACCCATCAAGTAGCATTTATTTAAGGTTCCCATGTGGTACTAATGGTAAAGAACCTGCCTGCCAATGCAGGAGACAAAAAATATGCAGCTTTGATCCCTGGGTTGAGAAGATCCCCTGGAAGAGGAAATGGCAACACACACCAGGATTCTTGCCTGGAGAACTCCATGGACAGAGGAGCCTGGTGGGCTGCAGTCCACGGGGGTCACAAAAGAATCAGACGTGATGGAAGAGACTTGGCATGCATGTACGCAGCATTTAGTATAAAGTTTACAAAGGTGCAGGAGTATTTCAAGGGGAAGGAATCTGAAGAACATATCTGAAACCATAATCCCCTGAACATAAACATTTTCTGTAAGAGAACCACATTTACAGTTTGGGTTTCTCCGTGTTGACTTCATTACACTGTGGCAGGATCAGTTTAGAAAGCAAAAGACAGATATTTCTTTGTAAAAAAAAGCAGCATGGAGAAGACCATAAAATATTGAAGAAAAGACATTTTCCTCATAAGCACTTTAACACAGCAGAGTCTCAGTTAATTTCAATCATATGTAGACCAGAGAACTACATGACCAACAGAACACAACCATGAAACTTAAAGAGAAAGTCATGAAAGGAGGCTACAAAGATAAACTATAAATATGATGATAATTTTAAACAGGCCTGAGTGGAGAACATCCCTTCAAAAGATTACCAGGAAAAAAAAAATCCAGCCAAAGAAAAAGATGAGAAACAAGCTGGACGACGACATTCACCTTTTCATGTTTTCCACCCTCCATTCCTTGTTGGTGTTGTTCCTTTGCTCAGTCATGTGTGACTCTTTGTGACCCCACGGACTGCAGCACACCAGGCTTCCCTGTCCATCACCAACTCCTGGAGCTT